TAGAAAGAACTGAGAAAAGGAATTGCTGTCTCTCTCCGTTAAATAGCTTTGAGAAATGAAGTTTGTGGGAGTAAACATACTAACACCTTGTTTAACAGACTTCATTCATTATTTTAAAAGAAAATGTTCCCAAATCCCCCCCCCTCGTTTTTCATTTTTTTCCAAAATGATAGGATTAAAAAAATGTTTTATCTGTTTTTTTTCTTGTTTTTTGTGGAGAGGAGAATTTATATCTCTTCTCCAACCAACATGGTCCACAGATTAATACCCAATGGTCTGGATTAAGATTTAGGTGCCAACTTAAATACCCTAAAGATATCTGACTTCATCTGCTCTTGAAACAAAGCAGGGCCAGTCCTGGTCACCACTTGAGCCCCTTCCAGACAGCTGAATAAAATCCCACGTGTTCTGCTTTGAACCAGTATATATGGCAGTGTGGACTCTGATAACCCAGTTCAAAACAGATATTGTGGGATCTTCTGCCTTGATATCCTGGATTATATGACTGTGTGGAAGGGCCCTAGGATGGGAGACAGACAATAAATAGCAGGTGCTGTCAGCTAGATTTTAAAGGAAGCAACTGGAAAAAATTACCTCTGAGTTTTCCTTGTCTAAGACAACCATATGAAAGTCCATGATTCACCTAAATCAACAAGTGACTTGAAAGCACATATACACAATAGGGATGACCTAAACAGTATGTTCTGTCCCATACTTCTCATAGCTGTCCCTTCAGTTCCTCCAAAACGTCTCACAAGGTAATGGCAACTCAAAAGGAAGACTTTTTTTCTAGTCTTTGGAGATTTTTGGAGATTTCCCTTTTACCTGATCCATCAACCTTCTAGGTAGCATTTGGTGGAATAGAACATTGCCATGATAAGCAAGATGTGAGGAAGTCCACTTCAGCCAGTCACATACCTAAACCTGAATCCAATTTCAAAGTTAGATGGACGATCCTTTCATATACATACAGCCACTTGCCATTCCAATAAATATTGGTGACTATAGGATTTTGTCACACAAAGCCACTATCATGCAACTAGAAATGACAGATATATATCGCCATGAGCACCCTCATTATTGCACCTCTTCCCATTCATGCAATTGTACCAATCCACCCATCCATGGCCCCATGGTTGCACTTCTGCATATTCTTGTAACTCTTGTAACTCAATCTTCCCAAAATTTTGCTGCTTTAAATTATTTTTTCAAAAGGAATTCGATAGTTTCACTTTCATTTTCCAATGTTGTATTTACTTGTTAACTTTTTTCCATAAATGATTATAATTTATTTGTTTTATATTGTTTAGAATCTTGTGGATACAGACTCCCAATAGTCAACACACAGGACTGCAACTGTACCACCAACATTGTTAATAGCAACTAGCTATTCCAAGCTTTGGCTATTTATGGAGATCTCTCAAGTGATCCCACCTGCTGGCTGTCTTCTCATCCAAATGACTTGATCTACACACTGGAATCCCATTTGTTCTTAATTGTAGCTGGGCTGGAATACTTAATTCCTGTACTTCATCTAAAGGCTTTGATCCTGCCCTTGCTCTGTGCCCAGAGGAGTGGTAAATGTGGTGGGTTCTTCAATGTCTGGCTGCACATGCTGTTGCTTTGTATTTGAGCCCAACTTGAATGCTGGGAGAAATAATCCTTCACCACACCCACATCTTCATTGTCAGCAATAGCCATGATACTTTTGGCCCTGTTTCAGTTCTGACTTGCCTCCCTAGTGAAATGATGTCCATAGATTGAGAAAAATGTTCAATTTTCTGGCAACGTCTCTCTTCTTTCAGCATCATTCATCTTTTGGTACACCTGCTTATTCACTGTTAATCCTTATGACTACAATAATCTCAGATTTGTCCCCAGATTTTTCTTTTAAAAACTTGGCAGCACATAATGATAAGAAGTACAGCTTGCCTCAGAATTATTATTTTGCAGAATGAGTTTCCTGTATTAGCTGAAAATGGCCTTGAAATCACTGCCTGGAAGAATAGGTCTCACATGGACTATTTAGAGAGCTTAATGCTCTACATGGTAGAGGAGAATACTTTTCTGCTGAGCTCAGAGCAAAAGCACATTTCCTTTGCCATTTGGTACTTTCTATGTATAATCATATTGGCTTCCTTTTTTTCTTAACACTAGGAGTCTCATTTTCATGCCTTTAACAGGTCTTGCATAGGTCAGAATAATTTGGAGGGGAGTGAGGAAGGTGGAAGAGAAATCACCAGTCAGCTTTTAGCTTTTCTTACCTGTAGGCATCACAATTCTTTTTAACACCTTATTTTAATTTGGTGCAAAATCACTTTACAGAAGTGGGGGAGAAGTAAAAAAAAAAGTATTCTGTGATATGGTATCTTGATTCTTTCATGGAGGACAGCTTCAAACAAACATAGAAATGGAAAAAGGGGATAAACTATTTGTGGCTCTCAATATATCTTCTTTAAAAGAAACATGAATTTGTGTAGAAATCCAAATAGCTACCATTGTGGGGTCAAACATGCTTGAAACTGAGGGGAGTAGGCAAAGATGATGAAGTTTAACCCCTTGTTTCTCCCATTGTTCCAGCAAAAATCTCACAAGCTACTATTTGCTCCCTTCTTCTTTCCTGTTTTGCCCAACTTGCTGTTCTGTCAGTTAATTTGGTAGCTGGTGTACACTGCCAAGTAAAGTGCTGTGGCATCTAGGGCTTTAGTGCTTGAGTGGGTTCCAGAGTTGCAAACTCATCTTGTTTTGATTTGGAACATGCCAAGATAACTTTAAAAAGTAAGCAAATGGGAAGAAGGAGGGTTTTCATAGCTCACTGGCAGTTAAATGGCAAGCACTTTAGCCATGGGCAAGTGAAGCAGTTCAAAGTGCTGGTTTTGACCTATAAAGCTCTATACGGTTCTGGCCCAGCTTACTTGTCCTAACACATCTACCCCTATGTCCCACCTCATAATCTAAGATCATCTGGGGAGGCCCTGCTCTTGCTCCCATCAACAGCACAAATACGTCTGGTGGGGATAAGAGACAGGGCCTTCTTGGCTGTGGCCCCCTGCCTATGGAACACACTCCCAAATGAGATAAGATTCGCTCCCTCCCTCCTGGCTTTTAGAAAAAAATCATGGTTCTGGGACCAGGCCTTCGGACAGTAGATGTATGTAGCATTTTAGAGGGACATTGACTGGAACGGCGATGTGACTGACAAGACTGTTTAATGCTTGTTGATGTATTGTTTTAATTATGATTTATGTTTAATTGTGGTTTACTATTGTAATTGTTTGTGTTGGCATTGTATCGGTGCCCAATGTAAGGCACTGAATTTTGCCATTATTTATGTGTAAACCGCTTTGAGTCCCCCCAGGGGTGAGAAAGGAGGTACATAAATACAGTAAATAATAATAATAATAATAATAATAATAATAATAATAATAATAATAATGTACTCCCCACAACTTTTAAAAGAAACTGAAGAACATTTTACTCCGTATATTTTCTTTTGTGACAATAAGAAATGTATAAGCCAAGCATGGACAATTTATGTAAAAGTGGTTCAGATCAAATACGATGAAAGGCTGTTATAAGACATCATACTTTTTCTTTTTATGAAATGACAAATGTGACATCCTTAGGTCTATTACAAATGCTACCTTAACTTTACACTAATTCACCAAGCCACCACAAGGAGAAGATATATAAGAAAAAGACAAGAGAAAAAGATGACAGCCAAGTGGCGATGCCACTCTAGCAAGGGAAGTGCAATGCCCTATTGCAGAAAAGGTGATCCCAAACTTGTAAAGCAGCCAGTGATCCAAAACCATTTGTCAGAAAAAGAATGATAGGATGTCTGTGGAGAGTGATGGCTGTGTAATCATTTGGAACTTGTGGTTCTTAATAACAGACAAGACATTTGTGAAAGTGCCAGAGTGGGATTAGAAAGAGAAAGAAACCCAAGTCCAGGGTGTGCATTTGGAGGCCCACATAGTGTGACTTTTGTAAAACACTGTATGTGCCTGAGGCATTGATTCGGTGATGAGACTATGGTACAAAGAGATTAGACATTAATCGTTAGGTTGGAAGATAGATATATGAACATGTTAGTGACCTTTAGCAATGAGTAAAAATGATAGGAAAGGACAAGATTTCAGGTAATTCATTCAGGTTTCTATATGACGTGCATATGTTACTGTGTCACAGAATCTTTTCACATGATGGAGTGACCAACATATCACTCTACTCTATATAGTGGATGCAGTCTTGAATGACTCAGTGTAGTATAGTAGGTTCTCAAGCAGAACTGCATAAACCCTAGACCTACCCTCCACCTGTGTTGAAAAGTCAGGGTTAGAACTACAAAAAACATCTGGTTATGTCCCTCTAGCCCAATTGTTCTCAACTTCTGGGTCCCCAGGTGTTTTGGCCTACAATTCCTAGAAATCCTAACAACTGGTAAACTGGCTGGGATTTCTGGGAGTTGTAGGCCAAAACACCTTAGGACCCACAGGTTGAGAACCACTGTTCTAGCCAGATGTAAGCCTACTGCATCATTCACAGATGTCCAATGGGGTCCTCCAGGCTTTCAGTACCTGAGGCTGATGTGATCATTTCACACCTGGATTCAGGGACACAACGAAGATGCTTCTACAGTCTCTCTCCTCAGCTGTGTATCAGGTATGGAAGAGCTGAATCTGTGCAAACTGTAATTTGATCACTGTATCACTCCACTGCATTCTTTCAGTCTGTCATTCAGTGTGGCCTCTTGAAGTCTTCTATCATGTAGTTGAGCTCAGAGTTTATTTCTTTTCATCTTAAAACTTCCTTTCTAAAAAGAATCAATTGCAGAAGGGGAGTAGAAGCATACCTCCCTTGTTGTCATTCCTTGGCAACTATGCTTGATCACAAGAGAATCTGTCTCCTGCTTTGATTGCAAGGTGAAATGCCACCAGCCAGAATGACTGCAAGACAACTACCTTCAAGTAACACAGAAACAAGATTTCAAAATTTACCTTAGTTCCTTGAAGGGGTCTGCCCTGACATTAGGAGTTTCTATGGATTTAGGGAACACTGTGCCTTCTGCTCCTGAAATCACAAAACATAAACACAAAGTGCATATATTATAAACTGTTAATAGGGGAGTGGTACTCAAACCACAAAGTGATGTATTTTACCATTAATGAAACTGCAGCTCTGAACACATATTCTTATCAATATCCTGAGTAAGACTAATGAGCACCATATCATCAACATAGTTGTCCAACTTTTCAATTCAAGAACCTTTCTGCAAGGTGTAAAAGCATGCTCACTGGGCATCCCAGGAGTTGTGGTCCAAAAAGGTAACATTTCCATGCTCTCCATCTTTTGCAGATCACAAGCTGACCCGAATTATTATTCCCACAGAATAGGGAAAAAAACATTCCCGAAAAGTTGTTAAGAGGTGGGCCTTAACTTTGTTCTCCCTGCAAAGTGTTTCTATGGAAGGAAAAAAATTCCCCCATGGTGTGCTATCTTTTCATGTGAAAATGTCCTTGTGCAGTGGAGTATCCCTTACTCAAAATGCTTGGGACCAGCAGTGTCTGGAATTTCTTTCAGATTTCAGAATACTGTATATGCATATATGTGTACAATGCTGGTTATTGATTAACCTTATAAAAGCTTTTGCACATTTTTAAAATGTCAATTTAAGGATAATTTTTGGCAAAACAGTTTACTTTAAAAAGGAACTGAGTTATATTTGTAGATTCAGTTGACAGTAGGGGTCCTGTTCTGATTCGTAATCTGAACCTCCAAGGCTTCATAATTTCTTAGTTAAGATACATTCCATTAATGACAATGGGGAAAATTGCGAGGCTCATTTCTCCATTATTTTTATGGTTATCAGGATGAAATGTGGCACACTTGTAGGCAACATTTATGACTTTAAGCCTGTCAAGTTTCAGAAAGTTTCAGTTCTGATTTTTAGAAAAAATTAAGGAAGTTTTTACAAGTAAATTTTAAAAAAGAAAATTACAAAAGGTATCCCCTTCATCAAAAAAATAGAGGAGAAGTATTATACACATTCTTTAGTAAAGGATGGAAGTAAAGTAAAAGTTCAAACTTTGACATCTTTTCTAACAAGAATAATAAATTGTCCTTCTGAATCTGTGTTAGTTTCTTTTATCTTCTTTTATTGTCCCTTCTTCCTTTCTCTTCTTTTCCAACTCCGTGTAGTATTTCTTCTTCTTATTTTATCAATTAACTAATGCAAACTCTATTTTTCTACTCTAATTGCAGCCAGCTATATACATATCTTAAAATTAATTTCATTTGTTAGGTGATTAGTAATATACATGTAAATATTTGTTATAATTCATTCACATAGGATCTACACATAATAAATCTTTGTACATAAATGAATATATCTATGATATCAATTTTCTTGAAGTTATACACTTTTCTATTTTAATTCAAAGTATTAATTCATCAATTTTCTAAAACCTTTGTAGTTTATACACATGTATCATTTCATAATACTTTTAGATCACAAAATGGAGGTCCAAAGCTTTACACACCTCTAGTAACATGTTCATCTTTATTGCTGGAATTCTTCCTAGTAAAGATAATTTTATTTTTTCAAGTTCAAAAGATCCTTTATTTTTTCCAAACTTCTACATAATTGTTTTCAAATATTGTTGACATCTTGTCTGTTGGCCAAATTCCCAAATATTAACTTTTCTGTCTCTTTGAAATTCCGAGTCTTCTGTCAATTTTGGTCTGTCTTTCTGTTGCAATTTTTTTAACGATCTTGGGTTTTTTTTGTTGACTTTAAGTCTTGATATTGTGTCATAATCTGCTAACAATTATTTTACTGCAACTATTGATTCTGCTGGGTTTTCTACCAGCAGCATTAAGTTGTTGGCATATGCATATATTTTTGGTTCCACTTTTCTGACTTTTAAACCTCTTATATTAGATTCTTCCAGTATTTGATTTGATAGCACTTCCAATGCTGTTATGAAGTGAAGTGGTGGGAGAAGGCAGCTTTGTCTAACTCCTTTAGATAACTGAAAATATACTGTTGATTCTCCATTTACTTTTATCCTTGCTACTTGTCATTTATAAATTGGAGTTATTCATCCCATGAAGTTTGAACCTTCTTACATTTTTTCCAACACTGCCATTAAAAATTCCCAGCTGATATTATTGCATGCTGTCTCTGCATCCACAAGTATTAGTGTAGCCTTTTTCTCATTATGTTTCTCCCAATAGTCCAGTGAATTAATTTCCACTGGCTGCCGACTTGCTACCGGGCTCAATTCAAAGTGCTGGTGTTGACCTTTAAAGCCCTAAATGGTTCCGGCCCAAGCTACCTTTCCGACCACATCTCGGCCTATGAACCCACCAGGACTTTGAGATCTTCCGGGGAGGCCCTGCTCTCGATCCCGCCAGCTTCACAAGCACGGATGGCGGGGATGAGAGACAGGGCCTTCTCGGTGGTGGCTCCCCGGCTGTGGAACGCCCTTCCCACAGATATTAGATTAGCACCATCGCTAATGGTCTTCCGCAAGAAAGTAAAGACCTGGTTATTTGTGCAGGCGTTCGAATAATTAGTGCAAAGACTGGTAATGACATAGGAATGAACAATGGATGACGAATCTGGATCATGTTTTTAGTGATGAGACACGAATGAATGGTTATCGTAGTAATTGTGTATTAATTGTATATTAGACTAGGTTGTTAACTGCTTTATATTGGTGTTGAATTCTGCTGTGTTCTGTGTCTTGTGAACCACTGTGAGTCGCCTTCGGGCTGAGAACAGCGGTATAGAAGCGAAGTATATAAATAAATAAATAAATAAATAAAATACTCTGGTATTAGCTGTGATTTGTCTTCCTAGGAGAAATCTACTCTGGTCTTTTTGAATAACTGTAACATGCACAGATATCTATAACAACAATTACAAAAACTGTAGATTGCCAATCACAATTTCTATATTCTAAGAATTTCTACATTGAATGTAACATGAGAACATTCACACGATTAATTAAAGACTGTTTATAATTGGAAGATAATTTTTCAATACTTTGTTAACAGTAAAACTAGAGCTTCCAAAATCACAATTACATAATGTCAAGCACAGTGACACAAAATAACACTTCCTATATTATCGAAAGATCTTCTTTCATAAACAACATTAGAAACAGTGACACATGGTTTATCAATATTTCGTCAACACAATGAGCTTAGAGCTTCCAAAATAACAGTTAAACAATAAACGGCACAGTGGCACAAAATAACACTTTCTATGTTGTCGAAATATCTTCTTCCATAAACAACATCAATGACAGTGACACACAACAAGGTCTCCCAGGTTGTTTCCCTTGTTTCACAATGTCTTCATCAGGTGTTATGATGTTGTAATTCACTAAATAAGAAACACAGCAACATACAAATAATAGATATACTACAATCCCCAAATTGACATAGTTTTGAAAAGGTTGTCATTGTACATGCATGACTACTTACATTCTAATAGGTAGCTATCAGTTCTGTTTTGATTTCCTATCAGCATTTATAGTCTTTGGATTCACTAGATAGGAAAAGGACAAAGTTTTTGTACTTTTTGAATAACTGTCATTAAAATTTTCTTTAATATTTCTGCTAATACGGTTGCATTTTTTGTAATCTATATTTAAAAGTGAAATTGGTCTGGAGTTTGCCATATTGTTATCATCTTTTCCTTCTTTGGGAATCAACATTATAGCTTCCTTCCATGTATTTAGTAAAGTTTGTGTTGCCTGTATTTTTTTTTAAAAAAAGATGCCATTGTTTAGGGGTCAATTCCTCTTTAAACTGTCGATAAAAACTGTAGCCAGCCCATCTGGGCCTGCCTTCAACTTTTCAATAGCTTTCCACGTTTCCATTACTGATATCTGTGCACTCAAAATTTCTTGTAGACTCTCAGTCAATTCCATTGTTTTAATCTGTTTCAAGTATTTCACAACCTGCATTTTATCAGTTTTCATACTTTTGTACAATGTTGCAAAGTACATTGAAAATGCTTGTGTTAATTGACAATTTGATGTTATTTCTCTTGAGTTTTCTCTAATCTTTATTAGTCTCTCTAAAAATGCTTTGTTCTAGTTTATGGGAGGGAATTTAAATATCCACATTATGATGGGATTTTGGTTTTGAAGGGTTTTTTTGTTTGTTTGTTTTTTTTTGCAAAGAAGCAGAGACAAATTAATGGCTTTACTTTAACTAATCTCTTGAAACTTTTTCTTGTGGAATGTGGAACTGGAAAACTGTTTCAGTTCTGTACTGTCCAGGGCACTCCAGATCAATGTTGTAATTATTCCCTCTGAAGATATAACTCCCAGGTGCAAATCCCCAATGTGGTTCCACCATATGAAAATGATTACCAGTTGATGATAAAATGTTTGTGGAGTCTGCTTCCAAAATATTCCAAATAAAAAAAAAGTGTAACATGAGTTATAGGTTGGCTAGAAGTAGAATGTTATGGATAGATCAGAAGTACTAGAATGTATCAAATCACTTCAGTACAGGGCTTGTAAAATTGCATTTTATAGCAAAAGAATGTATATCCTCAGCACTTTTTCAAATTCCTGTAAAATTTGTTCAGATGGATTTGGTACCTTTTGGAAACAAGCTCTTCACTTGATGCCTTTTTATGACACATAACACCTGTTTCCTGAAGTAATTGCTTCAGTCTTCCCAATGGTAGGCCTATCCATGATGTTTTAGAAAAACCTTACACACAGTTCTTTCCCTTGGTATGGGTTGCATGTGCTCCTGATTTATCCTTTTGAGGGTGCCAAAATATATTGCTTGCTTAGCAGTGACACAAAGATGAATCATACTTCCTCTTTAGAAGCCTCAACCTTCCCCTTGCTCACCATGAGACTCGGGTGGGCCAGATAGATTACACAGAAATGTAATTGCTGTATTCTTTGCAAATCATGTGCTCTGCTACTGTTTTGCAGGCTATAAAATATTCAAGACTGGAGACCCCATCAGGTCATAAGATATTCAATATGGTGATATACTTTTTTTTTTGCCTGGCAGTGAGCAAAGAAATCAAT